CCCACCCCACCCCACCCCCGGGGGTTTCCTGTCATAATAATGGTAATTTTTCCCAGGATATGGCCTTGCAGAGCTATGCAAGATTGCAAGGTTTGCCCAGAATTAGAGGTCGCGTTCTTTTTAAGATTTTGAGCCCTACAAGATTCGGATGATGGGCTTCCCTTTGTCCATATCTAAACGGGCTTGGTTGCCCATTTCCGTATACTCTTCAAACTATGACCCCCGCCCAACTAGGGGAACAATTGATAGCATAAAAAGGTCTCAAAAAGGAAGTGAAGAAGCAATGGATTGAAAAAAGATCCCAAAAATATTTAGCTTGATGGATAGCCAACCCTATAAGCTTCGGTTGCTTCAGCTCTGCCTGGCGTAAAACCAAGTAGAAGGTCGACTTCTACCAGATAACCGCATTTTTACTGTTTTTTTTCTTCTTATTTTTAATGGCACAATCATATTCATGTGCAGGAGACGTTGCATTTGCTTAACAGTGTTTTTGGCAATATTCCGTTATATTAACGTCCCCGCCTCATCATGCATTGATAGCCTGGAGGTCCTTTTGAATTATTCAAACTGTGTCGACTGATTAATCGACACTTTACCTATTCAAGTAGTGCGAGAGATTAGCCTTGTAGAGGTAGAATTAGGACCATTATATTAAATAAATTTGACTAGCTACTCAGCATCATTCATATAATTATATAATCTCCGTGGATGTAATAATTGATTTGGGAGCTGACTTTTCAGTCGACGAGTCGATGAACAATCACGTGGTCGCGGTAAAAGTGGGGAAAGGAAAAAAGCTATATGTCTGAAAGCAGTCCTTCCTTCGATGATTGTCCAGTGATGTTCTCGCATACGGTGAAAGATAACATCTGAGTGGGAGTGCTTAGAAATTTATATATTGAGGCGGAGCCGGTAGCGCAATCATCCAGCTACCATGTTCATCAAGAAATGATATACCCATGGAAGCTCCGTATTTCAACAGCTCCATCAGGAAGCCTTTGAATTATTCCAGCCACCTCACCATCAAAATACCCACGCACGTGTATGTCTTTTGACCTCACCATCCAAGCCACATGTATGGATGAAAGTCGGCAATGTACAATTAATTTAATGAAGGCTGATTTTATGGTTGTTGTTTCAGTCTCAATTTCAGACCATCATCGTCAATTCACAGAACCCCGTCACAGTCTAGTTTATTTAAACATAATTGCATCCCCCCCCCCCAAAAAAAAAAGATACTTTTAGTCGAATTAGCTTACGCTTGTGATCGAGTTAATTAATAGATGTTGTCAGACACAAAGTTAGACTAACAAGAAGGAATAAGAGGCGATGGTGGGAATGCTGAGTTTGTCATAATGTACATGTTTGGTAATGCGTGCACGCAGGTATGATTAAGAAAAGCCATATATATATTCTTTAATTATAATTAATTGTGATATTAAGCTTGCTAAGCTTCATCGACATTTACGAACCACGTGAGCTAATGAGCCACGTCATTTTAAGAGCCAGAGATGTCGACGTTGATGCATGCATGAAAATCAGAAGAAACGCTGAGATTTGGTAAGGTGTGAATTATATTAATATTAGTAACTAAGAAAATATATATATATATAACGCACGCAAGGTTTTGAGTTGCCATCAAGTCACATATATATACCGCGCAGCTACTTTCAAGTTTGAATAGAGAACAAGGCTAATTGTTTCTTGTTCTTTTACGTACATACTTCAAAAGTTCAAATGTCCTTGTACTACTTTTTTTAGTTGACTTTGATTCGAACTGAGCAAGCTTTTCCTCGTTGCAACAACCAAAAAGGGAAAAAAAAAAAAAAAAGTCTATTGGCACTGGCAGTCAAACCAGACCGCTTCCCCCGTTTCAAGCAATCCCGGTCAATTATGTCCATATGGTTATAATTTTTCATTTGTATATTAATTAATAATGAAAATAATTCCTACTGGATGGGGTTATTGTCTTCTATATTCTATATACCAAGTTCGTTAGTATTGAAAGCCAAGCCTTACCGGCATCGCTTTATTTCCGGAATTTGAGTCTGCATGTATTGTCGTGTTTATCCCTGCCTGCTTGAAACGAGAGAAATCAATGAGTCCAACCAAAGCAATTAAATGCACATGCATGCACACATATCTTTTTGGTGAATTAGTATTAATGATTGGATTTGAATTTCTCCTCAGAGTTGAATCAATCAGTGTTTAATTTTTGAGATTCAGATTTCATCGAGGATTTTACACAATACAAATAGTCAAAATCAGAAGAAGACTTGAAAGTTGGTTGTGAATCTCACATCTGACAGTGCTCATGTTATGAACATGATTAAGGTGAAGCAGCCCTTTTGTGGTAAGTCTGTGTGTCAGACTGGGTCTGATTTGATATCAGAACATTCAATTTCTCCAACCTACCTTGCGTTTGCTTTCTGGGCCACCAAGACTGCACTCTCTGCTGCTCAGAAATAGACAAAGAAATGGATGTTCCTGCATAGTTAATGGACTTGGAATTAAGAAAACAAAAAATAAAACAAAAGTAACTCAAGAAATTAACTTCATATGTACTGATATGTCGAGGACCAGAGAATCCCTCACATGCATGTTAGCTTCAAGTGAGTCAAAATGACACGGTCCTCTCTTATTCACATAGCAACAGATCGAAGCCGTAGCTGCTTAATCAGCCTACCCAGAAATTTAAACTTTCCCAATTGGACCACTCCCTCTACTGAAATATCTTCTTTCTAAAATCATGAGATACTCTGCCCTTTTGCATTATGGTTTCTGGCTTTGACTAAATTGCAAGCAAAGCAATTATGATTTCTGCACAGTTCTCACGGTGGAACATCCCGCATCAATCCTAACGTGCCACATGGAATTCCATGCAGCACCAAAGAAAAACAACAATAATTTCATCTCTCCCTTGCCTCGTGAATGGCGTGGGACACACACTACACCATCTTATTAATCTAATGCATATTATATATCAGATGGTGTGGTCAACTCAGCTCATCATCATCAGTCTTGGCTTTTTGTTCTGTAAGGATCGGATTCTATGTGAAGGGATTAGGTACTTGATTTTGAACATAGTGTGGAAGCAAAATGCTGCGGATGATTTTATATATTTTCAATCTCCAGCAGTATTGACTAGAAGAATTCAACATCCCAATTCTACGGTGACAGAGCTTTGCTGATTGGTTATGTTCATACCCTGCGCTCTTCAGCCATCCCCTTCTTGCTTCAACGTTCATTTCTTGGCTAAATTTCCAGAGTACTATAGCTCAATGCTCTGAACTGTACTTAAAAGTCATTTTAAGTTTCACGTTCAGTTTGTGGCAGTAGCAAAGTTTGGTTCCCTTTTTTCAAGTGTATTTATTTATTCGCTTTCTTTACAATTCAACCTTTTCAACTCTGTTGACATAATTGCCTAAGAAAAATCATAATGTTTTGGTGCTGATAAAAAGTGTGACGAATCACATTTAAAAGTATGGAGAAAATGATTTAATTGTGCAAAGCGATGATTAAAGTAAAAATGAGTGCGAAGGCGGTCAAAATACTAGTAAAATTATACACTGATATTATTATTGCTGAACCAACTTCAAAGCGGCGTTGGTTAAGTTAGGTAAACCAAACTCAGGAAGTGTCACCTGAGTCAAATATATTCCCTCCACACTGCCTTATTACTCTTTGGGATATGACCTTTTGCATAATGGCAGCAGGGCACAGTGCTTTACATGGGGATTCTGCAAGAAGAAAAGGTTTCAAATGCAAGGAAAACAAAGGCCTGCGTATCACTATCATCACACCATTATTTTAATTCTCCATGGCACTCGGTCAGAAATTGACCGCTCTGTAGGCGACAAAACCAAGGTTATTAGCAATTAAAATCACAATAATTTCCTAAATGTTAGTGTCCTGGCATCTCCTTTTCCCATGGCCAAGATGCTACCAAGCAGTATTTGATAGGGGAGGCCGAAAGGTTACGGACTTGCTGTTTCCTATCCCTCTGTGAAGATAGCATAGCCGCCTAAACGCGGAGACGGCAATTCAAAAAAGAGAGTTAAAGCTCTTTCCACGGAGGCACCCCTACGAATATTCTATTGTACATCTCCTTCATAGGACTTTTTCTGAGAAATTGCACAGGAAAACTTTGAACAACACAACAGATTTTTCAATCTGGGATTTGTTAGAATTTTAAAACGAAAATACGGGGAGTAGAGACAATCATGGACTTCCAAGTACAAATTAATCACTAAAATGTATAAATATATGCATGTCTCTTTCTTGGAAGTCAGAAGTTATTCCCCGCCTCGAAAAGGATAAGGATCAAATGCACAAAACTATCTTGTGCCTGATGCACCATACACTGCACAATGCATGGACAGAAGTGGAAGAGGGATCCTTTCCATGATTACTGCCAGATTCAGACAGATTGGCAATGCTAGTGCAATTTGATTATGGCATTGATACATATTTCTTCCATTTCCCATCCCAATATAATTGTACAAAAATAATGAGGGCTTGTCTCTCATAATGTCTTGAACGACATAGAACCGGCTTACAGGGAAACAGGGAGACAGGATTTTTAATGGCGTGGATGATTTTTTGACCGCTTATTGGGAGTTGTTCGCCTCGTCCAGATTTGAATCTCTCACAGTATGTAATCCTAGCACGGGCAAAGCCATTTATTCACAAAGGTCAAGCTCACACCAGCTTGTGCCTTTTCAATTGATAGCGATTTCATCCGGTTGAAATAATAAGTTCAACATGAACCTTGCTAATTCCATGGATAATAGGTTGAAAAATGATACTTCTAGAAACCGTCCTTAGCATGGAATCTTTCAATGCGAATTAATGGAGCCAAACTTTAATTTCCTACTCCCCAATTGCCCCAGTCAAGAAAATGGAGTTGAAAATTATCCTGTCACTGATATAGATGGCTTTATATACAAGTTACAATGCGATGAGAGAAGCCAGTATCAAAACATGCTCTCACTAAATTAGTAAATTCAACCTCTGTTGAGTTTGCTCGACGAGGTGACGTATGACTCCCAAGTAATTAAGATTTAAAATTAGCAAACTTTAATATTTACAATTCAAAGGAAAGCTAAAGTCTAAGTTTTAGACCGGAGTGTCGCAGAATTTTCCTTCCATCCTGTTCTGAACAGCTTTTACAGCGGCAACTCTGGCAGCGGTGGCGGCTCTGTTGGCAGCAGCTATAGCTTTGTTAACTTGTTCATCCACCCGGCGAAGCTTTATAGCATTCTCTGCTGTTTTCCTAGCAGCCTTCGAATTAAGGACCAACAGATGAGAACATAGTATTGTCGTTTCTAAAGGGACTCCGATAAGAAATCTATAGTTGAGGAAGGTATTAAACGACATATACCTGAACTGATCCGAGGAGCTTATGGGTTAGTGATGGTAGAGGATGAATGAGGTTGCCAGCATCCCATTCACCACATTTTCTGTCACCATTTCGAAAAGTGTAGACCCCAAGACCTTGCCTACGACCTTCATGCCACGCTCCTTCATAACAATGGCCATTGGCAAAATGGTACACCCCAAATCCATGTATTTTGTCTCCAAAATACTCTCCCGCGTATCTATCTCCATTCCTTTATCACATTCAAACATTAACCATCATGGGTTTGCACAGAGAACAACTAGTACCACAAACTACAGTAACTATCTATCAACAAGGACTTCAAAACCAGACTCTCAGATCAATCTTGGAAATTTCAGCCAATTCAGCAACTAGGCCAACCAAACCTCAAACCACATCAATGCGTAACTAATTTTGTCGACAGACACCGACTGTAAAGAATTGGAAAACACGGCCAATTCCACAAAGCTGCCCAGTAAGTAGTAGATCAGCAGGAAAATAAAATGGTTCAGACACAACAAAAATAAATGGAAAACAAAGACCGCATTTCATTTCTCCCATCAATGCAAATTCCGGGCATAAAGGCAGCAGAAACTCACCTAAAATGGTAGCATCCGTGACCGTGCTTGACGCCGTACTTGAACTCGCCGATATAACAACTTCCATCAGAGCAAGTCTGTACTCCCACACCGTGGCTCTGCCCATTACACCATTCTCCAGCATAAGAGTCCCCAGTATAGAACCTATAAATCCCATAACCATGTCTCAGACCCTGCCTATACTGTCCCCTGTAGCGACTACCTTTTGCCCAGGTCTCAATCCCATACCCATCGTGCCTTCCGTCCACCCAGTCACCCTCATATCTCGCGTTCGCGAAGTAATTGTAAACCCCACTTCCGTTACACTTTCCTTTGTGGAACTCCCCCTCGTAGAAGTCACCATTGCCGTAAAATTCCACGCCCTCCCTGATAATTCTCTTCTCCGCTGGTCTTTTAATTGCTGTAGAGTCTCCGATGAACCACTGCACGGGCTTTGGGTTCGTCTTTGAAAGGCCGAGTCTTTTCAGATTCTCATCCCACGAGTGTTTCAGAACAGAAAGACTCCGGTGGATCGCCCCCTTGTTCTTAATTGCAATATATAGCCCGACAGAGATAAAAATCAACGCTATTAACAGGTTCTCCGAGTCGAGCCTATGTTCGTGTTCGAGATAGACAAAGTAGAATAGGTAGAAAAAGAAAGTGTATGCGCAAAAGAAGATAAAACCGACCGAGGTTATAACAATAACCGGGGCACTGGTCCGAGTTGAACCGGTTCGTGGGGTGGAAGCCCGCAAGTGGTACTTCACCTTCTGCTCTTCTTCGTTTTGAGCAGCGACAGCATCATCTTCGTTGATCGAAGAGAGACTGGGAATGGAAGAACGAATTGTGGGTGAGGAACGAAGGAGCGAGGAGTGAGTTCTGGTAAGCTTGGCCTGACTCTTCTGGCCTTCCATTGCTGAGGGTTTGGATCTGAGAAAGGGTCAGATCTTCCCAACTAAGCTCTCCTGTAACGAGATATTCTCGTAACTATCGCTGCCCCCGATGCCGCCGGCAACATCTCAGGCGGCGCGGGAGAAGCAGTGGGGGTGAAGTCAGCAGCAGAAAGCAAAATCGGATCATCGAGAGAGAGAGAGAGAGAGTGAGAGAAAGCCGATGAATTGAATTTCTATTTTAGTCCGAGGAATTGGCCTTTCGAGGGAGGGAAATAAATAACAGCTACGGCTGCCCTGTGGGAATGGATACCCATTGGTGCCGCCGGGATTTAAAGCAGAAACAAGAAGAAGGGGGAGTTAAATTCAATCTGAACCGTGGGATGGATACCTGGCCCTCGGATATCTTCGAGCGAGTTTATCACCGTCCATTTTGAACAAAGTGTCCCCCTGATCTTGACCTTGAAGGTATGGTCGTCGCGTCGAATCTGGTTCGGCATTCACTGTAGCAGGCCGGCACGTGCCTTCAAGCTCACGCTTTTAACTTTTTTTCGCCTTCATTTTTTTTTTGGGCCAATTTATTTTCATTAGAAGTGTTTGAAATTTCTATTTTTTAATCACATCTTGACCAAAAAATTTTCTATTTACACATTACTCTTCTCACATGAATTAGTTTCATACTCCTCCGATCTTTAATATAAGACCCATTTAACTAATTTGATTAGATTAAGGAAGTTAGGTAAGTTAGTTAATTATAAGAAAAGTGACACATTTTTCCTAAAACACCATAATCATCTTTCTTAATACTCCCTCTCTCTCTTTTACTTGATTATGGTTGATGGAGTATTCATAGGGGTAATTTAGAGAAAATTGATAAATATGAGAAAGGGGTCTTATATTTAGGACCAAAACCAACTTAAGAATTAGATCCTATATTAAGGACCGGAGGAGTATGATTTATCAAATATTTTAACTCTAAATTTTTATTCCGACGTTTTCGTTTGATTTTTTGGTAATATCTTTTTTTTACCCGAGATTTTTCGTAATATCAAACAGTGTTATATCATACTTATCCTAATATATAAACTAATAATTTAGTTGATCCTAATTCTAAATATAAAACATATTTCTCATATTTATTAATTTTTTTAAATTATCTTTACTGATACTCTTGACATAATCAAGTAGGAGAGAGATAAAAAATATTATGAAAGATAATTATGGTATTTTAAAAAAAAAAGTTATATTAATAGGTTTTAGATTTTTTTTTTTTGACCGGATAATAGGTTTTAGATTAAGGACATGGCAAATGATAAAGTTTTCTTCTTCTTTTTTATTGTTACGCCATAATTGCTATTGATTTGCTGATTCAGGATTTTCAGTTTTTATTGTTACGGCATAAATTCTATATGACGGGCTAGCGGAGATTTTCAGTTTTATTCAATTATTGGACTGAAGTAGTACTATGCCTTAAAGCCACACATAATATTTATCATATAACATGTTTATTACTCTTCCGGTTTTTAATATAAACCTAATTTTTGAATTAATTTTGATTCTAAATATAAGACTTATTTTTTATATTTATCAATTTTTTTTAAATTACTCCTATGAATACTCCTTTAACCATAATTAAGTGGAAGAGGGAGATGAGGTATTAAGAAAGATGATTATGGTGTTTTAGGAAAAATATGTCACTTTTCTTATAATTAACTAACTTACCTAACTTTCTTAATTTAATCAAATTAATTAAATGGGTCTCATATTAAGTATCATAGGAATATATATATTTAGATAGTCTAAATTTTAAGTTATATTTGATTTGATTTTACATTTAAGTAATCAAGGAATATTTTTCAACAATTTAATAGTTAAAATGTAATTTTAAACAATCTGCTTCCTCGTTTCCTGAGATTTTTAAAATCTGGTATGATGGATATTTAAATGTAGATGTGATTCTGTGAATCCTTAATCATCACTCATACTATTTGGATTTGTTAGAGATAAATTATTTAAATATTTAAATGTGAGTGTAGTTTTTCTCACTTGCAAATTGGAATATTATGGGGGAAATTATATAATTAGACAGCATTTTTGGTTTAATTCAGTTTTTTTTTTATTTTAACCAAAAATTTTCTAAAGCGCACCAAACTGAATATGGAGTATGAAAAAAGCTTCGGCATAAAAAAACTAAAATCCAGGCTGAAAAGATCGAATTAACTTGGGTTGGATTTGGTCTTTGATTTTGGTTCAATTTTTCTAACGTCTAATAATACACGAATCGCTTCTAAGAATTTAATCCATCAACATATATTAACTAAAGAACAATATCTTATAGTAAAAAAAAAGAATAACAAGTCAATATTTTTATTATATTTATTTTCCATGAAAATGTGTTGCTCCACTAAAGTTGTGATTTCTTTTTAATTATTTACGATTTATTTATATTCACACTTCACTGAACTATATTTTTAAAATGTATTTTAACAAAATTTAAACGACAAAAAAGCGTACTCTTTAAAAAAAAAATTTATTAACTTTCGTGCGTATTGCGTTGCAGGAGGAAAATGTGTTCAGAATTTAAATTCTTAAGTTGCATTCTTTTAAGTAGGTGTGTGGGTAAAAAACAAACTATAATTTTAAAAGTTGTCTTACAATATACGGAGTAAATGTGTGAAGAAATTTGTCTCGATTTGTGAAAAAAAAAAGTGTTTTTTAAAAATATTTTTGAGTGTTTCTAAATCCCTCCTAATTTAAGACCAGTTGGTTTATTTAAAAAATTAAAAAAATTACTAAATCATTTTAAAATATTTATATTTTTTTCAAGTTAATCTGTCTCGCTTATAAATTGATATATAATCCAATAATCAACATTAATATTTTAAAAAGATAATATAATATATGTTATAATTAAATAATTTAATAAAATTTTTAATTTTTTAAAATAGTTAACTGAGTTTTATATCATCAAGTAATGTAAATGTAGTATGAATGACGAACTCATCCCGAGAAAATATACTACCGTGAGGCGCGATGAATCAGAGGCGATCAAATGAAATGACAATAACCATGAAAAGACAAACTTGAAGGCTGGATAGCCAAGGCCTAAGGTTACGCTTGGAGGACACATTTTTATTTTCTACGGGGATCGGCTGTGAAATTGGGAACACCAAAACACTGGGCCAATTGCAAGGAAATCTCAAATAAAAAATATAATTATTGAAAAATTTTATTAACAATAAAACAGTTTGTAATAACAAGTTGCATGTTAGCAAATAACAATATTTTTTTTATCATTAAAACTTATCGATATTTTTTTTTTGGGAGTTAATTAGAAGTGACTAGTACCCCAAAATATAAGATGTGCAGAGTGGCAGCCGGAATTAAGAAAGGGGCAACCACTTGTCAAATTGAATTCACTCGCAAAGCAGTGTCAGGCTCGCAGATGCTTGGATCGTATGAGCTAATCCCCATAAATATGAATGCTCATATCGTACTATTTGGCTCTTCCTGATAAAGCCTGCTATATTTTGCATTCCTTATCATAGTTACTTGCGTTCTTCACTTGTACCTCTTCGCTCGCCTCAATTAACTAACTAAGGATACGACTGCTATTCTTAAATTTTAAACCGCCCATGAGAATTTTCATGATACTAGAAATATAAACTCACTGGCAAACCATGTCTTTCTCTTGTCATCAAATTCAACCTAACCCTTCGATTTACCTTCCTGCATTTAAAACTGGCTTCTGAACACAAGACCCGCCCAAGTATTTGTTGAGAAACACCTTAGACAAAAACCATCATTGATATGTTAACATGCTTATTTGAAATGACCGCAAGATCCTTTAAAACAGTTTTTCAATCAGAATTTATCTATAGAATCTGAGATAAGTATCCATAATTTAGGTGAATGTGTTTGTTCAACAGCATCTCCAAACAAGTAATATATATTTTATAAATGGCTTGGATATAAGAATCACTTATTGGGCTTAATAGCTCAATCCACTCTTCACTGTGATCAGATTCGCCGTCGCTGTGTGTGGACTGACTCGTCATGCCCACGGGCCATCATTATTCGCCTACTATCGTTATTATTTTTATTCCCACCTCTTTTCTCCCCGCTATTTCTAGAATTTCATCCAAATTAATATTATTCTCAAATTAATAATTTTTTAATTTAAAAATTTGTTATCTAATTATTATTTATCTCATGCCAAGCACGTTAGGGGGAAAAATCTAATTTTATAAAAAGAATAGAAAAGAGAGGGGAAAAAAAGAGGAGACAAAACCTTGGATCGGTAACTGGAGAGCCAAGAAAACACCACTTATAGAAGCAAACTGATAGTTAATGAACTCTGAATAACAAGACGGATTAGCTTCCTCTAGCAACTAGCAAATTCCCCTAGCTTCAATGGCATTATTATTTCTCGAAATGACACGGCCTTCAATCTAGAACTATTCTCGACGAACGTTCATTCCCTAACTTAACAGGCTTCAAACTAGTTCCTGTTCTGATCACTTTCCTTTAAGCTTCTCCTTCATCCTCTCCACTGCCGCCCTCAAAGTCTGTTCATCCTTGCAGAAAGTAAATCGGACTAGGTTCTTTCCCTCTTCTGGCTTTAAGTAAAATACACTGGTGGGAATGGCCACTACTCCGACCTCCTTAATTAGATGCTCACAAAATGCAACATCATTTTCCAGTCCGAAAGTTGTGTGATCTACAACCACAAAGTATGTTCCACTGGATGGGAATACCTTGAAACCAACGTCCTTCAACCCATCCACCAAAATAGCTCTTTTCGCCATATAGTCCCTCTTTAGCTCCTCAAAGTAAGAATCCGGGGTCCTAAGAGCTGCGGCAGCTGCCCACTGCATAGGAGTGGAAGTGGCGAAAGTGAGGAAAGAATGTGCCTGTCGGACTCCCCATGTTAGGTGTGGCGGTGCTATTGCCCATCCAATCTTCCATCCCGTTAACGAGAATGTCTTTCCCAAGGAATTCATCGTAACTGTCCTTTCGAACATTCCCGGAAGAGAAGCCATTGAAATGTGATCCATGTCAAAGGCCAACTTATCATATACTTCATCAGTGAAGACCAGGACATCATTCTCAATGCAAAGCGATGCAATGGTTTGGAGCTCCTCTCGAGTGAACATCTTTCCTGTCGGGTTGTGAGGAGTATTTATCATGACGGCACGAGTATTTTTGGAAATGGCAGACTTCAATTCTTCCATGGGGACAGCAAAATCTGGAGGGCGCAAAGTGATGCCTTTTATTTTTGCGCCAGCCATGGATAGAGTGGCTTCATAAGAATCATAGAAAGGAGCAAACATGATAACCTCATCACCAGGATTTATTAATCCCAACATAGTTGCGGCAATTGCCTCTGTACACCCACTTGTAACAGTAACTTCCTTTTCGGGGTCCACTGTAAGTCCAGTATCTTTCTCAAATCTATCAGCGATGGCAAAGTTCAGGTCTGGAACTCCATATCCCCGAGCATATTGATTTTTCCCATCCCGAATGGCCTGAATCGCAGCTTCCTTGACAAAATCTGGACCATCAAAGTTTGGAAAGCCTTGACCAAGATTTATGGCTCCATGTTTTATGGCAAGAAGACTCATTTGGGTGAATATTGTTGTTTTGAACTTCTCCAAGCGCTTCGCAACCTTGCATACAAATTATCAAAATAAGCTTCAATGAGGTCACGTACAAGTAATTCACAACGAAACCCAGAACTCTTCCTCTCGCAAACGCTCCCCTTTCTACTGCACAAAATTTGATCCTACACCTCTGTCCTTGCATCAAATGACAAGTGCCAGGACTTGAGGAGCTAGCATCTTCAATTCCCCATCCCCACCCAAAAAATAGAAGGGGAAAAAAAAAAGCTTAATGTAAGAAACCATAGTGGATATGCCCTTTACTAAGAAACTATAAAATCCATAAGGATACGGCAACCAAACGACAATGACAAACGAGGGTGAGACATGCTAAGTCATTAAGAGGGGGGAAGGGGGAATCGTGATATTCATAATAAAGGAAATATAACTGATTTACTTCCGTTGTATCGGAGGCCAAAAAAAAAAAAAAGGAAACATAACTGACTCACTCCCAACGACCTATCTTAAGAACCGAATAAAACAGACCCAAACGATTGTTAAGGACGGCAAATCAAAGCAATTTTAGAGCAGGTTAGCTACAGCACCAGTACATTAGTTGGCCCTATAGTTGTATTAGAGCATGGAAACAGGAACAGAAATAAATATAAACTTTGATATTGGTGAATGTACTAGAAACAAGGTTAACCACAAATTGGTAGCCACTTGGATGGCAGAATTTTCACATCTAACACCAATTCCAAAAGTCAGACAAGAGAACTAAATTAGCCAACACTGTAAGCATAATTGCAGGAGACGAGCACAGAAGGGGGAAAATGGAGAGGAATTGCAAATGGCTAATTGTACAATGAAAAAGAGAAATCGCAAATAAGATTGAAGTATGAACAATTTGACGAATAGGCATCATAACAAGGGACAAGAGGATGTGCCTGCAAAGGGTGGTGGGTCTTGTGAGTGACATCGCTGGGAGGAGAGAGGGGTTCTTTCTGAGTAGAAAGAGTGGCCACGGTGGGGAGGGAAGACAGCGGATTTGATGTCGGGACGCAGGAGGGGTTGAAGACCCTGTAGAAATGCCGAGACAGGTTTGGGAATGAGAATGTCTTGAATCTCATTCGGGGATGCGTCGATGTACACGGAACCTGCATGTCAAACGCGCAAATCGTATTAGGGTTTCGTTGCGAAGGCAGAGCAGAGGAACAGCGAGAGTGTCATGCTCGATAGAGATTCTTTTTTTTCCCCCCCTATCCCCGGGGAAGGAGAAAGCGAAGGGAAGGGACTGTGGCGTGCGTTTGAGCACGGGCACTGGGGACCATGGCTCATACGTGGGGTCCTCAAACGAGTCAGCCAATCACCAATGTCACTGGTGGGGGAATGCCGGAATGGGGAAGAATGCACATGCACCCGAATCGCATTGAACGATAATATAATAAAATGAAAAGGGGAACAAAAATAGATGCGATGCATTTTGGGCCCATGTGACATGATTCTGGACTTTCTCCCGTAAGGGCCGATTTGTTATAGATGGGCTCCGGCCCAAATAAACTTTTGATTGAGCAGAGCTTCACAGTCTCATCTGTTTCGCTCTCTTTTTATTTCAACAAGGCAATAATTCCAAGGATCTTGTTTCTGCAATGGAGTTAAGAAATTGGGTTAACATGAATCGAATGATTAAATGAGGTCAAATGGACAAGAATGAATTGGAAAAATGAGAGAGAATGTGTATAGTCCGTTGATTTAGGTTTGGATTAAACGATCGCTGGGCGCAGGATTACAACCCCGTGTGGGATTACGGAGCATGTAAAGAAAAGTGAGGGAGTATGTTATAAGTATAATTAATTGAGGGGTCAACCCAAAGCCTAAACGTATATATTTTTGTGCGTGTCCACTTGTTGTATTCAAATCATATGCGACAATCCATAACCCTGTCGAACAAATAAAACTGTTGCTGCAAAAAGGTGATCAAACCATTGAAATCTGGAACGATCATTAGCTGGCGAGATGTTAACTAAGGAAAATTATGATTATGTCAGATTCCATCACTCTCCTTCCCTCTTTCTGAGCGCACACACACACATATATATAAAGATCCAAAAGAACTCCCATCCTTAACTTTATATCCATATAATTAATCAACTGGGGTTGTCGATCAACTACAAGTAGAAGGAAGAATGTCGGTTTCATTAGCATTGCCGATCCAGCATTAATTTGCTTATTAATGTGGATGGTGATGGCTCTGCGTAATTAATTGGTTTAGCTGGAGTAGCCTGGGTCCTGATCCAAAAAGCTGGAACATAAAAAAACATTTAGTTTAGTAGTAGTTACAAGACGAGTTATTTCTTTTTCTTTTTCTTACGCAAATCCAAACAGAGTGATGCATATGTACGGGAACATTCCCAGGAATCTTCCTCCACGCCGGGCTTACACATGGGAGAGAGGGAAATGGCCACCTACCGCACGCTTAACGCTCCATCATCCTCTTCACCCCCCAAACCCTACCCTATTTCTTTTCTTTTCATAAAAAAGGTAGATATATATATTTATATAACTTTGCCATGAGCAGTGAGTCGGGAATCCTCATAACCTCCATTAATAATATATGTGATATGCGCACTGCGCTGTTTATGTACCATCAGGCCAGGTTTATATTTATTTGAACCCCATTGGATAAATATCAGTGTGTGTGTGTGTGTGTTACTCCGATTTCCGGTAACTAAAACGAGTTCATTCTTTCCCACGTACAGTCAGCAAATCTCAGAATTCCCTTCTGTAGTCTGTATGTATTGGGTTCAATAGCTGAAATAATATAGCTACTAAAAGGGTGAGAGACTCCCCCCCCCCTTTTCTCTATATATGTATGGTGAATGCTCGGCCTAATTTACTTTTTTAAGTGAAAAGCACACAGGTATATGATGAACGTACGTGGAAACTGATTATGTCTTGATCGCTGGGAACCAAAAACTGCAAGTTACACACACACACAGAGGTATGTTATTTGTATACTTTAGGTACTCTTAATTAACATATTTCAAGAAGCTCGCGGAGATCACGAGTTAAACCAGCACATGCGGTATCTGAAACTAAGATATAGAAAAATGGAATATATGCGAAGAAGCTTTAAGCTTTCCGGTAAACAACACATGAATGGATTACATAATAAAATTCGAAGATAAATACATGAATCAGATCGAGAGCTCTTGAGAAGAAAAGCTGCGCCTACATTGGTTGTGCCTCCATTTGGAAATTAAATACTATAACTGAGAGGAGGAGAGGAAACACAAAGCAGATACTAGCTGCTTCATCGAACAGACCCTGAGGCATTCATTCTTCAATGGCGACCGAACACTTTATGAAGAAGACGTCTCGAATCATGAATTAGTGTACGTCCCCAGACACAAAAGCAGAAGAAGATGCATGAGATCAAAAGAGGAGCGAGAATGGGCATAATTAGAATAAGCTAGGATTGAGAAGAAGCAGTGGGGGAAGAAGATGTCCAAAGAGAGGCGGAAAGCAAACGCCTACATCTCCAACTCAACACCAACTTATTGCAGCCCAACACCTCTGCCTTATAGCCATCGTTGAACAGTCCCAATAGCAGATTCGCCTGGCATTGGTTTGCGAAGCTCATGGCCACTCCCTTGTACCCCATCTCCCCCAAGCTCTCTCCCCACGATCCTCTCTCCTCTTCACACCCGTTTCTGTATATCCTCGCCACCCTCCCCGCTATTCGGGGACCCAAATACACCCGCTCCACCAACGTCCTCGCCCCGCTTTGCATGGGTATCCCCGCCTCCAGCGAGTCGTAAAGGGCCGAGTAATGGTGCAAACAGTCCATGAAACGACTCACAAACCCCCCGTCTCCGCTCACCCCGGTCTCCTCCTCAACCAGTGCCACTAGCCTCGGATTCAACGTCTTCGCTCCGTTCATGAACGATGCCACCGATTCGGATGCCCGGTGAGTGAGGTGGGGAAGATGCAGCATGCAGTTGAACACCAGGGTCTCTCCTCGAACCAGCTTCAGACCCGAAGGTCGGAATGTTTCGTCTGAGTCCAACCTGCATTGATGAAACGAGAACGGTTGACCCACGGAAGACGCGAACGCCGTCAAACGACGCCCCGTCTGTTGCACGGTGGCGATGGATCTTCTTCCGCCTCCGCTCCTGGACAATGCGGTGATCCTGAGGTGTGGTCCGGGCAGGCCGTCTGTTTTGGCTGCGAGGGCCTGAATTAAGGAGGCCCACTGGATGCCTTCCATGATGTCGTAATCGATGATGTGGACTCGCCTCTCGTTGGCCACGGCCTCCAGGATGGCCTGATTTGCGGTGAAGTGGCCGAACTTGACGTAAGGGGACATGTCCTGAAGGAGCTGGAAGGCGGCCAGCATATCCATCGGAGGGTGGTCCTCACGGTGGGGTCCATTGCCGATGAAATGCCTGTGGTGATGGCTGTTATCCTGTGAGTCCCCCGCGCTTTCTAGCAAACCCTGCAAGGCTTCCGTAAAATACGCCGCCAACCTCTCCATGTTGGAGCCGTCGGTGGGGGAAACCAACTCCTTGAGCCGAATCAATATCACTCGAGCCAGATCATGGCTCTTATTGGCGCCGGCGAGGGCTTCGGCGGCCGCCATCAGAAGGTGCACCAGCCTGAGACCCTTGAAATCCTCGACACCGTCGCTTAACTCTTCGTCCACCAGGGTTACTTCAGTCGAGGAAGAGTTGGCCGAGTTGCAGCCTTCTTCCGTTCCGTGTTGGGGGCTGAGGATGCCGGCAGAGTCATCTATCATGGACTCTATGAGGCCGTGGAAATCGTCTTCGGCGCCGGCGAAGGCTTCCCAGTTGACAAGGGGGGACCAGTGGTTCCAATGGCAACCGGCGGCATAATCATCATCCTTGGTTGGTGTGGTGGTGCTGCTGTAGCCGGAGAATTGAAGTTCATGGACGGAGTCCATGCCCATGTCCACGGGCATGATGTAGAAAGCAGAGCTTGAGCCGTCCAAGCTCGTCATGAGGGGGGCGTTACTGATGGGAGATCGTATATATGAATAAAGTCGGCCAAGTTGAGGCAGTAAGAGTTGGGCCCCCGGGGGGGGGGGGGGGGAACCTGAGAAGGGGAAAATAGTTAGAGGAAGGGAGAGGGGAGAAGCAAAAGGTGAAGTGTATGTGATGAAAGAGGGCACTGGGGTGGGGAAGCTGATCCAGCGTTGAATGCCGTTTTATTTTCGGAAAGACGTGGGCTCCACCTTAAAGGCATGTATATGCGATTCACCAACTCTCAATGATTACCAATCTCTGAATCGCCCGTACTGTAGTTCACCAACTCCAAACGCTATCCATTCCTTGAAGCCACGAGTTCAGCTCGCCCTTGCCATTGAACACACACCCCCCCCCCCCCAAAAAAAAAAAAAGAAACACACGCGCGCGCGCGTCCCTTAATGTCGTAACCCCATCTATGTGTACAACTTTTACCTCGTATTTTTCCTGCATCTACTTTGGTCACTAATTAGAATTCACATTTTATATATTTTCGATGATGTCATGATTTCATTATCCAAGAACATAACAATATTCTCGTAATAACAGCGCCTTCACTGCCAAGTACCAATCTCGTTCGTCGTTACTTCTTCATTATACACGGACACAAATGTAGGCAAGGGCCTTGGCTTTATTATATACTCTACTCATTGTCATTCCTCCATTCTCTGGCAAACAAAAAAAAAAAGTCATTATATTCCTCCATCCGCTTTAGTTTGATCACTTCGTGCTAGATACAAGTATTACTCCTCCAGTCCTTAATATAAGACCCATTTAACTAATTTGATTAGATTAAAGAAGTTGAGTAAGTTAGTTAATTATAAGAAAAGTGACATATTTTTCCTAAAACACCATAATCATTTTTTTTAATACCTCATCTCTCTCTTCTACTTGATTACGATTGAGGGTGTATCCATAGGGATAATTTAGAGAAAATTGATAAATATGAGAAATGGATCTTATATTTAGGACCAAAACTAACTCAAAAATTGAGTCCTATATCAAGGACCGGAGGAGTAGTAAGAAGATAGTTATACCATTAAACATAGGGAGGGAAAATCATGAATAGCTTTTCAAACATGCTATTGATTAATAAAGTCAATGCTATATCAATTATAATAAATTAATTACTTATAAAATGTAACTGTACAGAAGTGTACAAATTAGGGAAATAAATGCCAAATACTCCATAGATCA